ACGACTGGTCTGACTTTTCCGTATGTTAAGATGCGAATGCTTGTACTGATACACTGTACAAAGTTCTCCGTAAGAAAATTAATCATGTCAAGGATGAAGTCTACCTGCCACCCGCCCATCATTCCGTCATAGGCTGCGTTGACTCTCACTTCGTGTTCACCAACAGAATTATATTTTCGTTCTGCTCTTGATCTAACTGATCTTTGAGCGGCTTAAGAGGCTCCTTAAGAAAAAACGTCGACCGGTGAGTTCAACTTTGCTGAGAACCGTTCGCTAAATATTGCGAAATTCTTTTCACGTATAGTAAAAGCGCACAGAAAAACGCAACACCGCTTACTTGGAGATGCTTTAGGAAGCAGCGGCCATCCACATGCGTATGTGGATTGATCACATTTGAAAATAAGTCAAATATTTACATAAATCGATTATGCTAAGAGAATAAACGCCTTCTATTCTTTGTTTTCCTTATATAAACTATCCGTAAGTAGCAGCACTACGTTTTGGAATAATTTTCTGCTATTTTCTTCGTTGGTTTGGTTATATATTATTTTCTGACTGCTCATATAGCATTCTGAAACCTATTTATCTTGCTCCCAGCGTTCTATATAAGTTTAAACGATTAAATTATTCTTGAATTCCTGAAAATTTCTGTAGTTTATCTGCTTGCAGCGTCACAAAGAATGAAGCAACAGTTTCACTTCGTAGAAAGCTCCAGGCCTCTAGACCGAAGAGGTGTTTGGGAGGACATAGTGATATCATCACTTATGTCAGTCTTCAGCCCGACATCAGTATTGAGCGGAGTGTTATGGCTGAACAAATCTGCTTGTCCGCGTTGAAAAATTGCAGTGAATTAATTTTAAAGTTTGGCTCCATTCTCTCCATTTTTGGGACTCTATTCAATGGGAAAATCTATGCAGTGCCCCCTGAGAATGCAATCATCTAGCTACGCTCGTTCATTTGGTTTCAAAATAATCGAATGACAGGCATAAGAAAACATATAACTTTCTTCTGAAGAACGTTCCGAAATCCACGCTGCCAATGGAAGTTGCTGTGGATTTTCTGTACTCTTGCGGCTCTAATTATAAAATAATACGCACTATTATACTGTCATCTCGTGCCTGCCATATGGATATTCATCTGTATCTATTAAATTAAACTATTTTCATCCGTTGAAGTTGACTCCATATTTGATCACCAAGAACTTCTTTCCAAATATCCGGAAAACACAAAGTATTTATTCTGCAATGATCTCACCACAATACAGCGAAGAATGGGGTCGAACTCTTCCAATAAGTGTCCAACATCACCGCAAACCACTCAAGATTCCGGTCAATGGTTTAAACCATCGTTTCCCAAAGTGCTTTCTCTACATAATTGTTTAGAATTCTTGAGATTTTGATGTGACAAATAGGGGGTTCGAAGTCGCTAGCCTACTTTTTCTTCAAATATACTGACTGACTGTCCCAACAGATTTGACGAGTTGAGTTATTCAGGATGACATACTTAGCTCGCCCTTAGTTTACTTTTTTGTCAACGAATTTCCCGGTTGTTTTCAGCATATTCGGCCATTTATGTTCGCTGAAGATTGAAAAAGTTGCCTATTAATATAAGTTTTCAAATCGCAACATCGTGCAATCTTCAGGCCTTTGCCCAGCGGTGTTGCACATGGCGTCTTATTCGTTCTTTGGCACGACTGAAACGTCATGATTTTTGACGACGATCATATGCCCAAAATAATTGCAGGCGGTCCCGACCTAAATGTGCCCGGAGTTGTTAAGGATTCGGGCATATTATATTCTAATCGTCTGAACCTGTCACAGAACTGTGATCTGATTGTCTCGAAAGCACGCCGAACTACCGGATCACTTCACAGAAACTTTAAGCCCATCAAGGTTAGGAAAAGCCTTTTTAATGTACACGTATGGCCTATTAAGGAATGCTTCTCGCTTCTATTTAGACATCTGTGCGTTAGGGGACGGAGGAATCGGTCCACCATTTTTTACTTGCAGTTTTTTTTTCTATAGAACATCGCAAGCGGTCCTAATAAAAGTGATCCCCAAAGCAAGCTGGAGTAAGCTATCCAGAGATATGCAATTTAAGCAAAGTTTTCTCTTGCTTAGGAGAACTTTCACTATTTTTTTATATTTTCAGGACAACTTTTAGGAATTTCGGTTACTGCCTCGATAGTAACTCTTTTTCACTCTGTTGGCATTGATGGACTCCGAAGCTCGTACCAGGCTTCATTTTAAGTGCAAAGATGCCTTATCTAGAGCCTTATCTAATTTTTCGGCCGAAATCAAGAAACAGTTTCCATTTTGCAGAATACTGCAGAATGCCGTAACCCTCAAGGGAGACTGAGGACACTGTGCACATTTTTCAAACCTTCTCCGTTCCGTACTTCAACGAGCAGCAGCTTTTTATTCTCTTAGAAACATCACAGAGAATTATTCAGGGGTTTTTTACACTATCGGCTTGATTCTTTACTGTACAAGCCTTTTGACATCGCCTTTAATTTACTTACAATTGAATGAGGAAACAAATGCTCTTTTAAGGAACCTTTGCTAAAATAAGATTATGCATTTATGGTCGTGTACCAAAATTTACAGCTTATTGACACATATCGTCAAGGTAGGACCATAGTTTTAAGCACTGAGGACGTTATAAGCGCAATGATACGCCGGCCCAACTTCCACGTGTGCACAGACGGAGACTAACGATATCTGCTGACAGAACATCCCAGCATTGCAGCATTCTTTTTGGGAAGTAAAACGTACAACTGTCCGGCCTACCCCAATCACACCTATTTAGATTGGATGATCGCACATGTTTGCTACGTGTGCCAGACGGAAGGCATTAAAATAAATAAGGGCGTTTCTTTAGCAGATAATATGTTCCATGCTTGTCTAACTGTTGCTAAAAAACTGAATATCCCTTATTTTCTAATTATTTTTAATTGTGTAGCCATATTAAAAAATAAATAGCAGAAAGCATTTGTGTACTTTTAGTTAACTGCTTTTGAAACGCGAAAGACAATATGCAGATTATTACAAATTATTGAACCCAACGTGATGTCGAGTCCCACTAGATCCCTGTTGCTGGTTGAGATAAAACAAGTGCGTTCGGTTCTTGTATACAGTTAACTTGGTTTATCCATAATTCCTGCTCATCATTCCCAATGTGCAAATGTATGCTCAATTTCACTTCGAAAACATTTCTCGAGAAATAATATTTTCGGATCCGAAAATATTACTTTTTATCGCTTATTTAAAAGAAATTTTATAGCTCGTTATCATCTATTAGGGCCCCACTTCTTTGGCCTGTATTGTGTGTAGGCGAACCTTTTTTGTTTTGACTCTTAGATTTTTCCCTAATAGCAAAATGCCAACGATTTACAATGAATTTAGAATGAATGAACGAAAAATTCGT